TATTGCCAATATGTCGACAAAAAGTAACGGTCAATATTATATCCCAAAAATATCAACAATCAAGATTTAATCCAGACTATCCAAGGGCAACCTCAGGGTACATGATATACTATTCAACATAAGATTTTGTTGGCAAAATACAAATGCACTATAAGACGAAAGTAAATAACAAGAACAAAAAAAATTTACGTGGTTCAGTGAAAATGACTTACATCTACAACTACACTAGATGGTAGTTCTCATTCCCTTAATTAGGTTTATAATTACATAAGTATTTACAATAAAAAAATAAGTAAATAGGTCAGATTCATTAACCCTTCAACAAAAATTAATGGAATTGAATCCCCAACATCAACAATGGACATGTAATACACAATGTCCAACGTCAAAGTCAAGTCACCATTACTCAGCCCAAGGCCCAACTCATAATACAAAGTAAACTAATTTATTATGGGGCCATTATTGTCTACCAGGTTTGCTCTCATCGAATATTCACCCACTCATCTTGCCTATCAACTTATTTGCCCAACCTTGGTTTCTTCTTCTTTTTACTATTCAAATGGTCAAGCTTGACTTCACAAACATTGAAAACTTGATAACTATTATCTTACAATCATGTTTGCAAATGGTCAACTCACAACAAATAAAGGAATATACTTTCAATGGATATATCCTAAGCTTTTTCGAATTTCACACAATTGCACACTCATCAATTTAAAAAAAAAAATGGACTTCTTTAGAGATTCCAAAAGATACATCAATCAACATGTGATATTACCATTAACCAAAACTAATAGGTAATTGTTTAATTTTATAAGATGCTATTGAAATATTTTTTGATATTGATGTATCTAATAAGATTAGTTAGAAGTCATATTTCCTTTTCGATACTGATGAAATAATGATGTTTCTAAACCCATATATTACCAAAACAACATCTCTTTATCTGAAACTATAATTTACTTCGATGGTTTTCTCCAACGTGCAACAATGATGGGAAGTCCAAATGATTTTGGTCTTACTTATACATATTATAACTCTAGAACAATGATAGTCCAATACACATGGTCTTTTGCTCAACTATTTGAAAATATTACTTAAGTATATGACTATGGATATCACAAATAAGTAGGGATGGCAAAACGGGCCAGCCCGCCCCGTTTTGGCCCGCCTCGCCTTTGGCCCGCCAAAAGCGGGGCGGGGCGGGCTGGCCCGATATAGTCATGACGAGCTGTAGACCTTGGCCCGCCCCGCCATAATTTAGAAAAAAATAATTTTTTTAATAAATTTAATAATAAGATTATTATTTGTTTGTCAATAATTCAATATATATATATATATATTATTTCAATTTAATAATATAAATCAATACATTATTTTAAGAAATTATAATTTAGAACAATAATAAAATTTACATAATAATAAATAATAATAAATATATATATATATATATATATAAATAACGTTAAACTTATAAAATTTATATTTTTTATATTGTAAAATTCAAATACCTATATCTTTTTTATTTGATAAAACTTCATATTATTCTTGGTTGAGTAATTCTTATATCTTTAATTCAAGTAATAAGGATAAATATAATCGAGTGCTTAGGATAAATAAGGAGAACAGGAGAGAAGGTTATATTTCGAGGAAGGAGAATATTTTTCGTGAGAATGAAACTTTTTTAATTCTCTTTTTAAAATTTTTAACTTTATATATTATCTTTATAATTAATTTTATTACAATAAAAAATTATTTTTTTATTAATTAGGCGGGCGCGGCTGGCCCGCCTCGTCCCGCGGGTTGGCCCGACCGGTTGGCGCGCTTAGCGGGCGGGCCAAAGCGGCTCGATGGGCTGAAAACACCAACCCGTCCCGCCATATTATGGCGGGCTGGCCGGACCTAGCCCATTTTGCCATCCCTACAAATAAGTAACTAAAATAAACTATCGTCATCCAGTTCAAGTCTGAAACCAAAAGATCATTTATAACTTAATATAGATTAAAATTGATGCTCGATGTGACTTAAATAATTGTCTACTAAAAAAACATAAATTCTATGCCAAAACATACAACGAACAAACATGAGAAAAAAACAATTAATTTATCTATTTAAATTAAGATTATACAAAAAAAACAACACTTACTACTTAGAAGATAATCCATATATTAATAAACATGAAATAATAAGATTCACATTTACCTCTTTAATTACTCTTTCTATCATGTATTATTTTTAATTTAATTAAGTTTTAGATTAACATATATTATTTTAATTATATACACCTTTAATCTATAATATTTTAATATATAAATATATCTTTATTAAATATATAGATATATGTATTTATTAAATATCACATTATATAAATATAAATATATATATATATATAAATATATATATATATATATATATATTTATATTTATAAATATATTTATATATCTATATATATAAATATATATATATATATATATATTATAATACCTTAAAAATAAAATAAAATAATTCAGAATTTGATTTTCTGTTGTTTTAGGATAGCGACTTCTCTATTTGAAATTCGTTAATGGAAATCCACTTCATATCAAATAAGTTTATTTTGATAAATTCAGTGGATTAATTAAATAAGTTTTTTAATATTATTTTGTAGAAAAGTAAGTCTCAAACCCTCCTTTAACAATATGCATCCATAAATATTGTTGATATATTTTGATTATAAAAATTATTTTAAAGGAATTAAGAAAGAAATGTGTATAAAACATCTCAAAAAATTAAGATATATATATATATATATATATATAAATTATTATTAATTTTTGATGTACAAAATATATTATAAATTTAATATTTTGTTTAATTATATAAGATATATAGATTGTAAGTATGTACTTTATTATATAGTTATTTGATTATACTTTTATTTTACGAAATGTTAGATCAATATTTCTATCAATCAAAAAATATTTAATTTTTCAAGTTAAGTAAAATATTAATTTTTTCTTATGTAGCAAATTTTTTTACATAAATATATAAAGATAACACGGTTTTCATTAAAGGTCGGAATTCGGTACGCGGAGCTGAATTCGCACCTGATGATTAATAAACTTTTTAAAATAAAAATCATATTTATTAAATATAAAAATTATATATATATATATATCTATATATATATATTTATATAAAATAAATATATAAATATTATATATATTTATATATTTTAAAATTTTATTTATATAATTATATCAAATAAATATAAATATATATTTTTATATAATATAAAGATATGTTTGTATAATACATTTAATATATTATATAATTTAAATATTTATTTATATTTTTTCAAATATAACAAATATATGTATATTTATATATTTAATATAAAATATATTTATCGATATATTTATTACCCATTTTTTATTTTCAAAAAAATTGTTTGAAGATGGAAAATTGTATTTATATAATTGAGAATATTATGGTTGTGATTTGTATATTTAGATAATGAGAAATTATATCTAGAAAATGAGAAATATTTCGATTTGAAAAAATTGTTTGAACATGAAAAATCATATTATATTACAGAAAATGGAAAATAGTATTGTTTCCATTTATATATTTGAATAATGAAAAATTATACTTTTGAAGAATTATACCTTAAATGATGTAAAGATTGAATATGTGACTGCGTATTAAATAGGGGTGTCATTAAACCTCGAAAACTATATTTTAAAACGTGAAAAAATATTTCGATTTTTATTTGTATAATAAGAGTGGGGAAGATGACACGTCACATTTACATTTTGCATGCCTCTCTTTAGAGTGGCCACGTGTACTTTCCCTTGCCGCATTTCTTTTCAAAAGCCGCTTTTCTCCCTTTTTTACGGTAACTCTCAATGGCTCATATTTTTAAGTTTTCAAACTATTTTCAAGAATCAAGCCTCAAATCAATATTTTATAGAATAATAATATTTAATACTTTCTAGTTTTCACATTTATTATTTAAGAGATAAATACAAAATAATATTTATAATTTACTTTCAATTATTTTGCTGCACAAAAAATAGCTTTCTTCAACGCATTCTTTTTAATAAAGATTTACTTACCTTTTTATCATGAAGTTATAATAATAATAATAATATGGTTTGGATAATTCATATTATAATTATAAAGATTATATTTTTATATATTGTAATTAGACTTGGTCAGTTAAACTTTCATACATTAAAGACAAATTTATGTTATTGGATAAACATGTAATCTCGAGCATTTTTATATTTATAATTATAACATTAAAAGGTGTAATTAATATACCGTATTAGCTACCATTAAAAAACATTTTATCGGTAAAATCCAATTAATTAGTTAATTAAAAATAATTTTATTTTCTTTATATATATAATTTAAATCACGTCTACTATTAATTACACATATTTAAGTTTTTAAAATATTTTCATATTAGCTCTTCTAATTTTAAATTTTTATTTTAATTCTCCTTCATAATTAATATTACTTTAAACTTTTAAACTATACATAATTGCATGTGATACGGAAAATAATTTTTTAAACTGTTTTTATGAAACAATATCCACTACATCGTTCTTTGAATTTTAAAAAACATTTGTATGGAAAATAATTAATTTAAAGAATGTAATAAATACTTATTCTTTTCAAAACCTTAGATGTTTTTATTTATCACTTTTTTCTTCTAAACTCTTAATATTTTCAGTTTCCAAGTCTAATTAATTAAATTAAATGTTTATTTTAAACATTATTCAAACCTTAAACAAAATCTTAAAATATTTAACAGAACCTAATAATTCTTAGAATTGAAATATGAAAAAGCCAGAATTGGGTTGGGACCTTATTTAAGTATCTCCCCACGTCTCAGTTGCTCTGCAGTGTTCCACCTTCATTTCTCTCCACTCTTCCAATCTCTCACTTCTCCTCTGTTCTCCTTACTCTCTCTCTCTCTCTCTCTCTCTCTCTCTCTCTCTCTCTCCAAAAAATGGCATCAAAACTCTCCCTCGTTGTGTGCGTTGTGATGGCCTTGTGTGCCATTGATCTAGCACAGAGTGCATCATCCCCTCACGCCCCAGCACCATCTGTGGACTGCTCAAACCTTGTTCTCACCATGGCCGATTGCTTGTCCTTTGTCACCAATGGCAGCACAGTCAACAAGCCGGAGGGTACCTGTTGTTCTGGCCTGAAGTCTGTGCTCAAAACTGCCCCTTCTTGCCTCTGTGAGGCTTTCAAAAGTAGTGCTCAGTTTGGTGTGGTTTTGAATGTCACCAAGGCCACCACTCTCCCTGCTGCTTGCAAAGTCTCTGCCCCTTCTGCTACCAATTGTGGATGTAAGTAAATTTTTTTTTTTTTTCATTTGGGTTCTTTTTCTCCTTTATTTTTGTCTTTTCATTTTCGTCTTGGTGGATTTTTTTTATAAAGTACGGTGCTTTAGACTGCTGGGTCGATGAAAGGTTTCATTTTTATGCATGTACGAGATGGATCGGTTACCTTGTGTCTTTCATTCTCATGCCACTTGTGTTACGACTTAATTTTCTGATTTTTTTTAATATATATTTTTACCATCACCCTATGCTACATGAGAAGATGAGATGGTACATGGGATACCTTGAGTTTTCCTATCTTTACACTTGATTTTGAACACTGATCTTAGTTTTTATAAATATCACCTTTGTTTGGAGTTTTGTCCCTTTCTTGATTCATGTCAGTAACTGTGTATTTGTTTGTTTTTTGCAGTGTCTGAAGCACCTGCTGCTGCCCCTGGTATGTAACTTACCGTACTCCTTTTCTACTTTATGCCCTTTATAACCTTGATGTGTGGTTTTTCATCATGATTTTCCGTTTCAAATTACAAATGGGGTCACAGGCTTTGTTTTCTCCACCCCCATATCTTGAATAAATAAGAGCAATATCTGATTTTGTGGTTTCGATTCTTCTTTTGTTGTGAAGGATAATTGAAAGCAAATAAGAATTATAGTATAGTGGTGGTTTCTACAACACTTTCTGTTTATTTTGCTGGTTTGAAGAGTTCTCAACAATTTAAACTGGGATATGTCCTTTATCCGTTATTATTTTGTCTTGTTAACGTCCTAGGATTTATTGTATGCGTTTGACCATTCTGATAACTGTGTTAGACATGGAACTATTCCTGTTTCTAATTGAATTATTATTTTTTTCTAGCTGGAGGAGTCTCTCCACAAGCTTCTCCATCTCCACAAGCATCTGATGCATCATCTTCTGGTCCTGCAAATGAGGTATCTCCTGCACCAGCACCAGCTAAAGGGAACACAGCATCAGCATTATTCCCAATCTCAGCTGGATCCTTACTTGTTGGCTTATTGGTAGCCATTTTCTCTGGATTTTGAGAGGAGTTTCATTCCATTTTAAAAGTAGAGAGAGATGACATGAGGGATTATTTTGATGTTTTCTTTTGGTTTTACCGTTTGAGCTCTTCTTCTCATTCTATGTTTGACTTTATAGTAGATAAAATTCATTCCTGGAGTGTCTCTACCTATTTTGGGATGTACCCTCTTTTTCATATATAAGTCTATTCATATAACAATTTGAGATTTGGCATGTTATATTACTATTAGTGTTTTATCTGTGCCAATTGATACTGCAAGTAAATGTGCCAATTTCACAAGGGGTAACATAACATGGTGTGGTGTATTGGCACCACTAGTTAGTGCGAATGACTTCTTTTGTTCAGTTATGGTTTTCTTAGTCACAACCATTGCTTCTATGTACAAAATTGTTAACTAAAGCATACTCACAATGGGTACTTTGTTTAATCGAGAAAGGTTTGTGAAAGGAGCACTTAGTAAAGCACATATGCAAATAAACAAGTGTTTTTGGGGTTTGGGTTCTGGTTTGTACTGTTCTAAGTGCTTGTTTGGATTGGTTAGATATTACAAGACAAAAGGTTTATGAAGGGTGGCAATGTGTATCCGCCGAGAGATGATCCATGAACTCCAAAATTTTTGAACTAAAAATTCTAAATCCTGAAATTAACCCTAAAATTCCCTTAACCATAAACCCTAAATCTTAGAAGTATCCCTAAAATTGTCTAAAATGAACCCTAAAATTGTCAAAGTTCTGCAAATCATTGCTACCATGGGGCGAGCTTTTACATGAGCAAAAAGGCATTGTTGCATTGATCTGTCTGTTGCTTTTCGGCGCGCGTGCTTCACTAAAGAAAGTGAATGCAATGTCAGTTTTTTTTTTTTCCAAAGCTTTAACCGAAGAAATTGCTTGTTGATAATTATTATTACAAATTTGCGTGGCATCATTGTGGAAGCAGCAAAATGTTGTGGACCATTCAACCAACCACCGCATAAAAAATGCCACTAATTTTTTCAAGAAACTTAATGGAAAAGAAGGTTGGGGAAGGATTTGACTCGTTTGAAATCAATTATTACTAAAGCTAATTTTGTAATAAAATTAATTATATATTAATTAAGATTAGAAATATTAATTTTTAAATTTAATTATTGACTTTATAAGATAAATTGTATTTATAATTATGAATTAGAAAAAATTAATGATTATAAATAAATGCACATATTAACAAGATATTCAATAAATTAAATATGATAACATTAGATATACATTTAATAAATTTAAAGCTAATTATGATTAGAATAAATAATCTATTAACTAATAATTATTGCATTAAATCTTTTAAAATTGTACTCTTTATCCTGGGAGAGGAGTCAAACCAGTTAATACCAATTTTTTTTTCAGAATTATCGTGGTAAGAGTATTTTAAAGAGTCACTAATAAAAATAAGCAAGCTTTGATCAATTTTTTTTAAATTTTTGAAATTTTTAATTTATATCAATTACGAATAAATCAAGTCCAATCATGATTAATTAAATATAATTAAGAAGGTAATTTTTTTCAGAGAATTTAAATTCTAAACTGATGTGCTATGAAAGGCTTGAGATTTGTGGCCCATTTCTTCCCCACCTAGTCCATGTGGGCCATTTCTGTTGTTGGAAAGTGCCTTGGGACAGTACAGAAGCTTCAGTTACAATTTCATACAAGTCAAATAAATTTTAATACATAAGTTAAAAATATGATTTGAATAGATATGCATATAATCTGTTTTGCAAAGATTTTATCAAAGGCATTTTGCAAAGATTTTAACAAAGGCATTGATATGAATCACAAGAGGTGATTTAGGATCTTTAGGGTTATAACTTTTGTAAGAAATTTAGGAATTAGAAAGAAGGTGGAAAGAAAGAATCACTCTTCCTAAGGAAGACAACACACAAAGGATGTGACAGTCCTTTGATACAGTCAAGAGTTCTTGAATCACTCAAGAATTTAGGAGAATCACTCTCACTAAGATAAAAGAGATAAACTCTAATATTTCTGAATAAAATTTCACTTGTTATTTCTGATAAAAATGGTTCAGCTTATAAAGAAGATTTGCCATCAGAGTTACAAATATTCATTAAAGGAAAATAAATGCTAATAATGATTTATTAACTTAGGAATTGAAAACTACTTAATGATTGATTGTAACTGAAATTGTAGCATCCAAAAGTCAATCAGCTATGCACCCTCTTGGTCTCCCAAAGACTGGTCACTAAATTTTCAATTGGATTCTTATTACAACTTGCAATAAAACTAAACTAAAATCTATTAATTGATTAATCCAAAACACAATTTGGTCAACCAACAATACTTGTTGAAGAGCTTCTTTTGTTTCTCTCGCTCTAACCTTTATCATAGGTCATGTTCACATCAGACATATATATTTATAAATACAAATTATAATATAAAAGACACTATTTAAATATTATAATTATTTAAATTATATAAACGATATTAAAAATTGATAAAATTATTGAAAATTATGAAAATCTAATAATTATTCATAATGTTACTCTTTTTATCAATAAAATTTTATTAGAAAAAATTCTATAGATTAATATTCAGTGAAAAAAATGGTACAAAATTCTTTAATTAAATTTATTTATTTTCTCCTCTTATATAAATCATCATTATTGAAAGAACAAAGTTCAATCTTATAAAAAATTATTTAAATATTCTCTTTGCTAAAAATTTTGTACATAAATCTATTAAGTTTTTATAAGAATGAATCTTCTGAATTTCTTAAAAATCATAAGTAGAAAATAAAAAAATAAAAATAAAAATAAAAATTTGGAAGTATATATATTATATTTTATCTCCTTTAATATATTTTTATTTCAATTGATTAATGTATGTATTATTATCTTCATATATGAATATTGGTGTCATTTTTCTAAAGACAGATTACAAGATTCTTGCATATGTTAAATTACTTATCTTGACCACACATTCATTACTTATCAATATCACTAATTTTAAATAAATATTATGTTTGTGATCAATCATCCTCAGAATTTAATAAATATCCTACATCTATATATAATTATCTTAAGATAACGAAATATATGTTTCACTTTAACCTAATGTCTACTTGTAGGTGAGGAAGTATATCTTGCTAATGAATTTATATAAAATGTTATATAAGATTAAGTATAGTTAGCAATATATATTAATACTCCTATAACACTAAGATATGGTACTTCAAGATTAGTGAGTGAGCTTCTTGGGAGGTAAAGAGGGTCATGGTATCTAAAATTTTGTAACTTACTTTAATATTTATGATTTCCCTATAAACTTGATGATTATTCAATATATATTTATAAATTTGACCTCTTATATTTGTATATTCTTTCACATTTTCATATTCATTTATTATTTATTAGTAATATATTATTTGACTCCCTCAACCTATAAAAAACTTACAACAATTAGAGTACATAATGGATATGATTTATCTATATAGAACCTTTTAAGTAATTTTGTTACATAAGTCCCTTGATATACAAAAAAATACCTTTATTTAAATAATCAATTTGTAATCCTAAACAAAATTTTGTCCTTTTTAAGTTCTTTAGGAGCTCCAATGAGGTTTATATTTTCTACATAAACAACAATTATAACAAATTTATTTTTTGATCTTTTCATATAAATATAAGGACAAATGAGACCATTTTTATACATTTCTTTTAACAAATACACATTGAGACTATTATACCACATGTCTAGATTTCTTTAATCCATAACGAGATACTCTTTAGAATTTGCATCATTTGGAAAATTAAAAATCCTTCAAGGAGTTTCATATAAATATCATTTTCAAAGGAACCACACAAATAGGCGGTGACAACATCCATTAAATATTCTTTTGCAACCAGACTACTTAAGTATCAAAATGTAGTTGCATCCAATACAGGAAAATATGGTTCTTAAGAAAAAAAAAAAGAATCTAGTCTTTGTGAAAAATTTTGAGCAACTAGTCGAGTCTTATATTTAACAATTTTACCATTCTTATTTTGTTTTTGCACGAACATCCATCTATAACCAATTAATTTTAAACATTTAAACGTCTTAATTACATGTACAAAAACCTTTCACTTACCAATTTAACTTTGTTTCAATTGCATCTTTCCATTTTGACCAATAATTTCTTTTTATACAATCACCAATGGTCATTGGTTTTTTAAACATCATCAATATTAACTTTATTTCTACTCCATATTTTCTTATTCATACCATAATTTATTGTTATTTCATAATTTTTAACAATTTCAGGAGATTCTTCTTAAACAAAATAATGAATTATGTCAAATGAATCTTCTGGATTTTCACTTTCTTAAATGATTTTTTTTAAGATTTTGCTATCATCAATTGAATTTTCTTACTTTTAACACATTTTTTCATTAGAGGATTTTTATTTTTGAAATCAATAGGTCTATCACGCTTCAAGCGTTTTTGAGACTCATTTGCTATATTAGATGATTCAATACAAGTATCAATTCTAATTGGAGCATTGATAGCCAGTATATTTGATTTAGTTATCCTTTTTGTATCATTAAATACATCTGGTAGTTGGTTGTCCAATTTTTGTAAACAAATTATCTTTTGAACTTCCAATTCACATTATTTTATGCGGGAATCAAGATAAGATAAAGATAATTTATTTCAACTAATATTTTTTCCTTGTGACTCTTTTTTATCTCCTCCTAATTTTGGGAAAATTGTTTCATCAAAATGACAAAACAAATTGATTCACAAATAAATCTTCTGTTCATGATTCAAAATATTTTATTATTGATTGAAATTCATATGTAACATATATTCACTATCCTTTTCAGATATAAAATAAAGTAAGATGCAAAATTTTAAGAAGATAAAGTGTAAAATTTTAAGAAAATAAGGTGAAAATTTTTAAGCAATAAAGTAAGAAATTCCAAGGAAAATTTCCATTGGACATTAAGATAGTTGTCTATCTAGATGTGAAAGT